ACAAGCGTAGATAATGTTAGCAGCAAAATCGGTAGTAACATAAAAATTATCATCGTCTTACTCAATAAATTCTCCACATTAACTGTAAAAACAAGATTCCGTTCATTATAATGGCTATCATTAATCCTATTCGATGCACAATGGTTTCTAATTGAGTTTAGAGAACTGTAATTTAACCATGAAGAAGACTACACAAAAGTTCACAGCGAGTGATAATTTATTTATTAAATATACAAATGAGTATTAGGGAATGAGTCCTGTTGCATATTACTGAATGTGTCTTTGCAATTTTAATAACCGTAAGCCTTCAGTTTGTTTGGTGTGGGGGTCAAGAATGATTTGTATTTTGTACATATTTGCACTTCTCACTTAAGATTTGTAACTACACCAGCATGTGACCCATTTTACTTTAGAGCAGCATGTAACCTGTCTGTATTTTCCAGCATTTCAAGACTTAATTTTAAATTCGAAAGCTCATTCAGGACTACTATATTTACCTGCTTTCACAGAAGTTAGCGGACGAAAATAATCTCCAAATGCTTTATTCTATCCAGTTTAGTCGATAACGGACAAAATGTTTTAAAGAGCATCCAGCTCAACTTTGAATATGATAATGGAGTCGCCCACGAGTGTATAAGATATCAAAGTGTTTGTAAATCTCTAGAAATGTACAATATTTTATCTTGATGAAATTTTGTTCTCCGAGATGGATGGTTTGGTTGTGGAGCTTTCATCGTTCTTCTGAACGACATCATCGGCACAAACTTCAGATAGAAATGAAGTGTTCGAATTTCTCCATATGCGTTTCACAGCTTGTTTTGTACACCTCGATGTTGATTGGTCCTTATTGACCTTAAATTTGCCATTGTTTACTTCTTTCTTTTGGTCGTCTCCCATTGGTTTGGTCTTTGTTCCTATATTTGTGCATAATTTTCCTGACTGGTTGATAAATTGAATCGATTTCAATGTGCTTGCTGATTGACCTGAGTGCCAGGCTCCTAAAAATCCTCTGGTGTTTTTGAAATTCCCTCTGTCCAAGATTTCCACATTTTCCAATCAAATGAGTGCCCGCAGTTGCCCACGTGCATTGATATAAGTGATAAATATCATGGTGTTTGACTGCTAATTGATGTTCATGTAGGTGAAGGTGAAGAGGGCGTCCTCTATTCGATATAGTGCTTTTCGCAGTTGCATAACTTATTTTGTAGATGATGTTTGATTCGTCTTCTTTTGCTATTTAATCCTTTGGTTTGTGTGCCACACCTATCCCGAAGGTTTTCAGCAGTCGTTGCGGTCTCTGATACGCATTTTATGTACGGCAGAGCGATCCTTTTGTTGATTTCTGTGCTTGACTTGGGTTCTGATGCTGCGTGCGGTTGGTATTTTTTATGTTGATTGGGTAGCCATTCTTTTGAAATACGTTTTTCAGGTATTTCTCTTCATTTTTTTGTACCGCCAGTGTGTCTGGATGAAAAACTACAGTATTTAATGTAGCTGGGAAAAAGCACGTGATTCTGAGAAATCAAAAATAATAACTCACGATTTCACGGAATAAAATACAGTAGTAAAAAGTCTTAGTCTGAAAGACTACTGCAGGTATAAATTCAAGCTTAGTTAGAAGGCAAATACATACATGTCACTAATTGTGTAGTCTTCAGTAGACGAGTACACTTTCTAATAAATTGGTAGATAAGCTGACCTAGTCGTTCTGTTACATAATACTTAATGCTTAAAAATAAGACTCGAAACATATAAGAAACAGAATTTCAGTACGATAATATGAAAATTTATGCTACCATAAATGTGCTGATCAGAATACTTAAGCAAAAATATTCAGCAAAATGACATTTTAACTAAGGAGATTACTTTTCGACGATTTTACTCACTAAAGTTGTGGAGTAGTATTAATAATTATTCCTTGATATATGGTGGTTTACAACAGAAATAGAGGGTGGTTGCGTCATTATCAGTACTAAAAAGCCAACTACTAGTCAAACTTACGTAAAGACTATACACTTGACAATTGTAAGGAAGATGTATTCGAAAACGGATGCATGTCAAATCAATTTATAAAGTGAGATAACGGGATAATTGTCGCTTGAGATATGTGAGAAGATAACGGATAGGAAATGGACATGTGTGGTGGAATAACTAATAAGAGAGGTTGTTAGGAGCATAGTGAACTGACAGACTAGATATTTCACTTCTGTAGGTCAGGCTTGAGCTACGGATCGCCAAAACTTCGTCTATGAACAAGTTATTTTCATCCGATTTTCCTTCGAATCACTTCATATTTGTAACTCTAGCTCTATCTTCAACAGCTACAAAAATCTGTACACGACACAACACTGGGGTATGATTAGAAAATATCCGACAAAAACATGGAAAATTGGATTTTCTCAAAGATTCACTGACAGAAACCTGAAGTTAAAATACCTATATGAAAGAACCCCTGAAGTACCAAGGATCCTGTTCATTAACATTGATTTTGAAGCAAATACAGCCACAGCAATTTTGTAAACCTGATTGTGTAAATCCCTGAAGTTTTTTATCCAGCCGAGCTAAGAATTGTTTCCCAGAAGACATCTGGCTGAATTTTCCGAGGGTCAACCGCTGTTACCTTCTAAAATCGGCACACAAGTATAGAGAATTTACGTCATTTCACCAACCTACTTCCAGCGCAAATTATCAAGGTTATCGGATAAGACAAATCTGGTGTCACGAAAACCTCATGCATCGATACAAAGCCTATAAATTGATCGAAGAATTGATGTTAGGAAAATCTCAAACAATCAACCACCTGCTACTTGAAAAACCCGTCATCTAATAAGTGAATTGAGAACCAGCTGTATTATTCTCACTGAGATAACCGATGTCTTTATAATGGTCACACTACTACATAGAAATGAACAAATAAAATCTTATCGGGTAACGGTATGATTACTTATCCGTCATTAGAAACGGCTATTTTTCCTACACACTTACGTAGTGAATGACCACGTTGAGCAGTTAGTAAGAGGGAACACAAAGATGTAGTAACACATCTTCCTGAATGATTATTTCGGAACGTCGTTGACATCAGTTGGATATACTCCAAAAACGCTTTGCGTCATAACAAATCAATCACAGATGAACGCAATTTAGAACAAACGGAAAGTTTCCTTAGCAGTCAAGTGAATAGTAGAAGTCAGATTTGAAAGATCAGATAGATATTCTGAATACTCAAAGCCACAATTCGTCAGTAAACAGTCCAGTTCACGATCACTTATTTGGGCTGCTTCGTTTTTATATACGGTCTTCGCCTTATCTGAAACTAATTTAGAATGATTCTAACGAAAATTCAAAGCTTTTGGGTGCTCTGCGTTTTGTCTAGATCTCAAGTACCCGTAAACCACTAGTAACAGTATTCAATTTGGACAATCATCGAAACCATTATTAGCGATAAAGACTCAGATAATTACAGTTAAACAATCAACAAAGAGCACGCGTCAGATGTCCCTTGGCCCGAGCCCCAAATCATGTGTTCATATAGATAGAGATAATCCAGCAGTAACTACAATGAAAAAGACTAAGCATTGAGAAAATTGTTTAAAAATATAGGATGAATAGGCATGTACGAACCGACACTAGATTTCAAGATGAATGGTAAGTGCATCTGCAACACTGTGAACGACTGTCATATCTCCCAGTCTCTAACCTCTGATCTATCGGACTTCTACTAGGTAATCAGTTCCACCAACACGGCTCAATCCATCAGTCATTGACTTGGAAAACTGATAGATAGTCTTAGTCCAACCGCCCCTAGCATTCCTTCAACTAGCACGCCGCAGCAGACAGTGGTTAAACATAGCACACCACAATGGACATGATTAATTAAGATCCACATCCTCATTAACCGATTTGGCAGCTGTCTCAACTTCTGTCAAACTACCCAATGTTTGGATCATGTATAGGATACCAGCCAAAAGTAGTAATCCATTCGGTCGGGATATAATTGCACTTGCTCAATCACATAAACTTAAGCAGTGTGTTCAATGCCAAGGACATCATTTGAAGCAATCCAGTAAATGTACTCCAGCTTCCACATAAATATTGATCAGTTTTATCATACAAAATCGTGGCACGTGATCTTAATTATGTCAAATAGCACCAATTTTGATTAGGCAGGTTCAGGATAGGATCCCGAGTTGTATCATAATGGTTCCTAAAGTTACATGTTCGCCTGAATAATTTTATTTATCCCACACACGTTCTGTAAACTGCAGAAAGCAAAAAAAACCCTTGGGAAGTCACCAGACTGAACAATACCACTATATCTACTTGGTAAGAGAGAGGAACTACCAGTCTAATGAGACAAGTGAATCGTTTACACCAGCAGCTTCGTTAGTTTACATGTTCAGTCAGCAAATCATTGTTGATACGCATCTAAATGACTAGCTTTTTTCGCGGAATATCGGACGTAAAAGGAGAGGGTCGAGATTGTCTATTCCTATAACAATTTACAGCACAGGAGTAACAAACATTGCAACTCTACTATCCAGACGTCAATGTGCAGAGCATAACGATGAAGGTATATCTTGACCAGATATCAATGAAATAAGAAAGCAAACTAATTGGTACTACCAATCTTAGACGCCCGTAAAAATCAAAGCTACAGATTGCAGAAATAATAATGACAGAACGTCTGCCATGCATCAGTCTAACAGACCGAAATGTGGCAGCTGTGTGGAAAACCTTGAAAGAAATGTTCACATTGACTACAAATCTTTCGACTACTTTGATTCTGAAGACTGCCCAATTCGACGTTGTAAACGTGTAGGCAAGATTTTCGAATAGCTAAATTGTGGGGATTAACTTAGTTATTATACTGGCTTATCATTAGAACAAAGGTATATCATTGACGACAACCATCGGACGAATCGCAACTTAGTGACAACCTGCTTGTTAGCCGGATTTATACTATACATTTGAGTTTTCCGTAGCAATAAGATGATTCTTAGGGGAACATGTAAGCTGTTTACCAATGTTAAGAAAAATGACAGTTGTGTTCCGGCACTTATACATTTATTACATACAACGATTAGTTCTCCTCTTCATCGTCTGTATCTTCATTTTCGAAGTTAAAGAACCGAAATTCATAAGAATCCTTTGATTTCGCTACCACGCGAAGGAAATCTCGCAATTTGTGACGTTTGAGGAATTTCTTTGTCAGATATTTAAGATACCTGAAGATATAAATTATCAAGTCTCACAACTCACCTTTTCGAGAAAGGGATGTTTGCGGTGACATGTATGGTTGATTTGTCACGTTCAATGTGAACATCTTTCCCAAGATTATTAAGCTTATTGTCTACTTTTATGTGTTCCTTTAAATATTTTTCCTGAAAGACTGAAATTCACAAAAGTTATTAACATACAAGTAAACTAGGGCTAACTATATCTTCATCAATAACTCCGGGAGAAATGCATATACTGAACTTCAGAACCTGCTTTTTCTTTGAGGCTGGTTTATGCGTCTTCGGTTTCGGGACGGACTACAGAACATAAATAAAATAACACACAGTACTTTTGCAACCATGCTGAAACCTGCTATTGCCCGCCGTAGTAAAAGAAACCGTTTGGCCGCCAAAACAGTACAAACTGTAGTAATCAAACTCCAAACTTAAGTTTTCAGATTCTTGTGTTAATGTCGAATAAGGGAATAAATTCGAAAGTCCTTTGTTAGTAAGATAAGTTAAGCGTCTATATTTTACTCCTAAAGTCTCAAAAAGCACTATGTGTAGAGCGACTCGATTTCTTCGTGCGCCCATTGAAAGTTGTTTTATCTACTTTTACAAAATTTTTAACTCATATTTTAAACAAAGACTTACAGCCTGAACATATCTTTCCAGTTTATATCTCATTCTGGCCGTGTATTCCGCAGTGAACGTGTTCGATTACAACTTGGTAATTATTTTACTTACTACCTATGATGCACTTGAAATTTCAGTCGCATCAGCAAAAAAGTGAACATTTTTCCTATGGTTAGAACTCACTTTTACATAAAATGTCATTGTGAAATGGTATCAAGGGCTTTGAAGCCTCATCTGATTATTTACATTTGCATGTCTGGTGTAAATATTGACAAATGTTGCCTCATGATGAACATTGATTGTAGTTGGAGGAACACACAACAGCATGTACGTCTACCTAGAGTGCATGTATATCTGCATCCATATTAAGGCGTAATCACGACCATAATCATACAACGTATAAAGTGCAAGGAACCTAGAAAAGTGACTTAATGCAACTCACTGAATTCTAGTTTCCACGACGAGCATTTGTATTTTATTCCTGTGTTTTGTCGGACGCCTGAAGCAAAATGTTTAATACGCTTTAGCAGAAGCCTGGAAACTGTAGTATTTTAGAGTTTCATCGGGAGTTCGTCATGATTCATAAACTCAAAGGCTTTACTGAAATCAATGTTGATAGTATCTGATGGTTCTCGGTGGATGGATTTCGACTTTTTTTTACTGTCGCTAAATCCAACTTGTTGTGATTGATGTCTCTATATTTGTTGATAAATTTATATGGATGACAGTTGTTTCATAGGTACTTTGCAATGTTCATGGCTTTATCCTCTACTATATAAAATATTGTTTCGTACAATGTTTTGTTTTAACTGATTGGCTGAAATTTACTACACGTTCGGAAAGAACAGTCTAGGTATGCAAGCACACAAAATGTGTGACAAGGAAGAAATTTCTAATTACCCATCAGTTTTCTTACGCACTGCAACAATGAAGGGAACGAAAAGTCAGTAAAGGATATACTCGAGAAAATGTATCCCAATGACTCCCTTGTGACTGTATGAAAGCAATGAATTTTCCAGGCAAATCGTTTTGTTAAACCTGTTCACCAACTGAAACATTCGGATACTTAGGAAAAAATAACTTTCCGTTGCTTTACGGTACTCCTGTCTTCACAGTAGTCAGCAGAGCTAACCATCAAACCCGTCGCCTGAATCTAAAGTCAACGAGTAATTGTAGGCGATTACTGAGGACTGCCCAATGCAGAAATCACCGGCCACCGACGTTTAGTACACGTGACTCGATTATTACGTAATGTGAAATCGTACAATGGCATCAAACTTGCATTACTCTGGTGTACGGAAGAACAACTGAGATATCAAACTGTATTACATCATTCAGAATCCTCTTCGTACTAATAAATCGCTAAGGTGCGAAATGTTCAATTTTTTTAAAATTTACATGTTTATTCACGCTTTGTTCAGCATAATGGTTTTACAGTTTTTGCCTTGATGGATTTGGGCAACAGCACCACCAGATAATAACTGCCAAATATTTCACGAACGCTTGAGTAAAGGGTAAATCGTTTTAGAATTTGACCAATAAAACATTCACAGTCTTTAGTAATTATCCCGTCGTGGAGATCTAGAACTTCCAGTCATATATGAACTACAGGAACATCTTTTTAAAACTGAGTTAACAGGTTATTAATAAACCTCACTGGATATTGATATCGAAGTTATTATTTTTGCAAGGTTTCTAAACTGGAATCGAATGGTCAGGAAACATGGACTTATTTAGGCTCCTTTCAGATGGCAATCTTATTAGCCTAACACTCATCTATCTCAATATAAGTCCAAATATTGTGTTCTCTCATAGCTATCTTAGTCCTATGCTTTATTTGTACTCCACATTATATCTAAAATTTGTTGACAATAGCATCATTTAAGTACTTTGTAAGAATAAAGCTAAGGGCAAGCTGATTATTTAATAGTCTGAACGCAATTGTGCATACGTTTCAACACTTCGTAATGAAGTTTTCAAATCCAGCTCCTCACTACCTTATCAACGACATTCGTGAAATAATGTAAGTCTTTCTCAAGAGATACAAGAGTAATCTCCACCCGAGAAAAATGTCTAATACGTATAATCAGTTTTTCTAGCTGCATCATAATTTGTAGCTTTTCTTGTTTACGTCTACCACTCTGCTCAATATTCTGGCATCCCATTTTCAGTCCTATCCTTACATGTGCGTTTTCCACTAATTATTTAGACAAGTCGTCAGTGTATAACCATCTAAAGAGTTCGTCTTAATAGTAGGTAACGTTTGTAAAAATACTTGGGGAAGGTGTGCAAACAATGTATATATATATATATATATATATATATATATATATATATATATATATATATATATATATGTTACAACAACAATCAATCGGTCGGAGTTTATACGGTGTAAAAAGACTTGTGCTCGTAAAAGGTGAGCATCGCGGAATATTCAATCGTCATTAGTTGCTTGTACTTGATCGAGAACCTTTACCTAGTGACGCTTTCAATGGAATGAACGATGCAAAACTCGAAAACTGACAAACTATTTGATTTGAAAATTTGCTAACTACAAAGTCCTTCAATACGTATGTTTATACATTAGTTCACTTCGCACCTCTTTTTTTAGTTCAGTAGGTATGGTGATTCCTAGAAATCCGTTATTTGTTTACAAAATGTGAAATACTGGTGAACAAATAATTTTGCACGTAATTAGTCAAAAAGAAACAAAGAGAAACGTGATGAGCAGAAGTATTCGAATTATCATGCAATCTAGAAATACAAAAAATAACGCAGTTAAGACCATAATGAACTTAGTGAGAACAAACGAACGTATAGTATGTGGAATACGAAATCGGGCAGTTATTCAGTACAAAGGAATCATAAATACATACGAACACTACAACCGACACAACATAAATTGGTGTCTGGGTTTCTGTAAACAATTGTATGTTTTCTACTAAGGCTCATTATAGACCTGTCAGATTTATCATTGAATACCAACTCGGTGTAATCTAGAATACATTCATTATTAGTAGAAATAAAAACTGAAATCGGAACGGAATCACCCGAGTCCTGGAATTGTATACAATCACCATGTTGGTTGTGTACTGAAATCTCTAATATCGAGAATTTGAAACATGGATTTCCAGACACCATCCATACCACAAAATAATGTTGGATCTCAACATCCATACTTCTCATATTGATCAAAGGATTCACTAGAAAAGACGTCATTCTAAGTACAGAGAACATTTCATAAGAAATCATCCGAATCTTATTCGAAATCGAGCTCATTCAGGACTCATGCTTCACAATAAACCAGTTTCCTACAAAACAGATGCATTATGAACTCAAATAATATTTGATAAGAGATCAGAATTTGATTTGTCCGAAATATTTTCCCAAAATGTATCAGGAATAACATTAAAGACTAATGGATCAATATGAAAATCAGCGTCTATCAAAAGTGCACCAGATTTTCGATCAGAACTTGATTCACTCAACATATCTTCCTCAAATTTGTAAGAAATTATGTCAGAAATATATGAATCATTAGCACAACCATATCTAGCACAGTAACATTAGAAATCTGATAAGAAGCTGACTGGTTAAAAACTTTGGTCTCACAATTATTCTGAATTTCATTTGACTCTGGTCTGCTATTTAACTCTATACCGCTTTTCCAAGTCGCGGATAAGGATAAATGGTCATGGGAAACACCCGACTTAATAGAATCACAATTACGAATGTTAGTATTAGTCGCAACGAAATGAGCAGTAGTATCAAAAATTAACTGAACGTGCCTAATCTTACCACATTTGAAGCATTTATAATTACGGAATACGCATAAATTACATGGGTTGAACTTGCCACAGAACAATTTTTTACCAAATTTGTGCTCATTTTCGTAATCTACTTAGCAACTCTTAAATGAATTGCTATCTGCATAACCTCATGTACGCATTGGATTGAAATGATGTGGTAAAGTAGTAAATTTCTTGATGTCCTGATGAATCATTTTGTGAATTTCTCCTTTTTTTACTACACTCGAAATTTGTACACTTTACTCAATATAGTAGCAGATCCATGGCAGTTGCATAAGGAAGTGAAATGGGCTTGTCTGAAAATGTTAGTTTTTAATAAGCTGTAGGTTGAAAGTAGAATGAATATAAGGAGATGAGAAAAAATATTAACGCCCTTCACAGCTGTCTTGGCCATAGTTAAGATTTCGAACCTTTCCATATAAACGTCAAATGCATCAAAATTTGAATGTACGTCCAAGTGTTTCATCACAGTCTCGATCGCAACCTAAATGTGATCAGCAAAGGTATTCGAAATACTATTATATCTCAGAAGTAGCACAACTGAGAAATAACAGAACTAGATGAGCACAAACGAACGTGTGGAATTCGAAATCAGGCAGTCGACAAGTACAAAGAAATATTAAAAACGCCAGTTTATCAGGCAGAGTGTCATATCCCAAAGACAAAGAAATATTAAGATACATGGATCCATACTTTACGACATATATGAAAGATCATAGGGTTTGGAAACCTGAAGAACTAAAGGAAATATCTCAAAAGAATATATCGACATACTGGAATTCAACAGACTACTTGAAGTCAAACGTGTTTGGTTTGGACTCCAAGTATGTCAGTCTCACGTTATCTGTTTGCCTAATTATGACATTTTTTGTTGGAATCAAACTCCTGCCTTCTTATTTTTTGTTTTCGACGCGAATGTCAAAATGATAGTTGCTGAAACAATCCGGCCATTGATTTCTGTTCTATTTTTTAGCAG